GAGGACGGCGTTGGGGACGCCTGTGACAGTTGCCCTGAAATGAGCAACCCCACTCAGGTATGGACAGCACCATGCTTGGAGCATGGGTCCGGGCTGGGCAGGGGGGCAGGGGGTTCCTCCTGCAGCACGGCTGGCCCCCCTCGCCCCAGGGTGTCCGCTGAACTAGGGCTCTGGTCTCCTCCAGACAGATATGGACAGTGACCTGGTAGGAGACATCTGTGACACCAACGAGGACAGGTGGGGACCATGTTGCTGCGGGGTCACCTCCCCATCCCCTCTTGTCCTGGCCCATCCCTGGGGGCAGGGCTGGGTTCCTGGAGAGCTGGGAGCGGGGAGGACAGGGTCTTTGGGGTTGGCTAAAGTGCTGGGACATGGTATCAGGTCCCCAGTTTGCAGCGCTGCTCTGACCCTTCTCTTCCTCCCAGTGATGGGGACGGGCATCAGGACACCAAGGACAACTGCGCCGAGATTCCCAACAGCTCCCAGCTGGACTCAGACAACGACGGGCTGGGGGATGACTGTGACAATGACGATGACAACGATGGCATCCCTGACTATGTGGCGCCCGGCCCAGACAACTGCCGCCTCATCCCCAACCCCAACCAGAAGGACTCGGATGGTGAGCACAGGGTGGGCGGGAGGAGGAAAAGCCGTGTGGGCTCAGCCTGGCCCTGACCGGGGTGCGTGTCCCCAGGGAACGGCGTAGGTGATGTGTGCGAGGAGGACTTTGACAATGACACGGTGGTGGACCAGCTGGATGTGTGCCCCGAGAGCGCCGAGGTGACGCTGACCGACTTCCGTGCCTACCAGACTGTCATCCTCGACCCCGAGGGGGATGCCCAGATTGATCCCAACTGGGTTGTCCTCAACCAGGTGTGGGTGCTGCCCCCCATGTTTCTGGGGACTGTGCTGCTGGGGTGGGAGCAGAGGAGGGGCCGGGAGGTCCCTGGGGATGCCCCTCACCCAGCTGTCCTCCACAGGGCATGGAGATCGTGCAGACCATGAACAGTGACCCGGGCTTGGCTGTCGGTAAGAGATGCTCTCCCACCTCCAGCCCCTGTGGGGCAGCCCCCCTACTCCTGTCCCCCTGTGCCAGGGGGTGAGGGGCGGTTCTTTGCCTTGCAGAGGGGTGAAGGGTGGGCTGGAGGGAGTTGGGGAGCTGGGGGAGAGGGCTCCTTGCAGTGTTTGCCTGCCTGTAGGCTACACGGCCTTCAATGGGGTGGACTTCGAGGGCACCTTCCACGTCAACACCATCACCGACGATGACTATGCTGGCTTCATCTTCAGCTACCAGGACAGCGCCAGCTTCTACGTGGTGATGTGGAAGCAAACGGAGCAGACGTACTGGCAGGCCACCCCCTTCCGCGCGGTGGCCGAGCCGGGGCTACAGCTCAAGGTGGGTGCTGGCCACCCTGCGGGCCAGGTTGGGCCCCCCCAGCCAGGTCCCCCCTGACACCCCATGCACCCACAGGCAGTGAAGTCCTCAACGGGCCCTGGGGAGCATCTGCGCAACGCGCTGTGGCACACGGGCCACACGCCCGACCACGTCCGCCTGCTCTGGAAGGACCCACGGAACGTGGGCTGGCGGGACAAGACGTCCTACCGCTGGCAACTGGCGCACAGGCCCCAGGTGGGCTACATCAGGTGAGCAGGGGGGGATCGTGGGGGCTGGTGGGGTGGGGGTGCCCTGGCCGTGGCCATGGGGCAGGGGGAGGATGCTGGATGTTGGGTGGGGTCCGGCCCCGGGGGGCACCACACCAGTGCGGGGGATGCCCAACAACCGGGGGTCCCCTTTCACGGGGCCACTGTGGTGGGGAGGAGGTCCAGCCCTGAGGGGAGGGAGCGGGGATGATGCTGGCAGTGGGGACGGATCCATCCCCCGTGGGACCACACGAGTGTGTGGGGGTGCCGGCTGTGGGGAGGGGTCGCGCCCCGGTGGAGCTGCGGGCGCGTTTCCCCTTTAAGGATCCCGTCGGGGCGGCCGCCGCGGGGGCTCCGAGGGCCGGGCCCGTCCGCCCCGTCGGGCCCCCGCGGCCATTGTCCCGTCGCCATGGCGACCCCGCCGGCCGCCGGAGCCTTTCACATGCAAAGCGCCCGACAAAGGCGGCGGGGCCGGGCCGGGGGCGGCGCGGGGGCGGGGGGGCTCCATGCCGGCCACGGCGGGGGGGCCCCCGGGCCGGTGCCCCCATCCCACGGGGTGCCCCGTTCCCGGTGCGGTGCCCCCATCCCACCCCGGCGAGGGATGCCCCGCTGCCCCTCCAACCCAACCCCGGGGCGAGATGCCTGGCGCTGGCCACGGGGGAGGTGGCGGGGGGGGGTTCCCGGTCCCCCGCTGACCGGCCGGGCCGGGTCCCCCCTCCCGCAGGGTGCGGCTGTTCGAGGGCCCACGGCTGGTGGCCGACTCCGGGGTGATCATCGACACCACCATGCGCGGGGGGCGGCTGGGGGTCTTCTGCTTCTCCCAGGAGAACATCATCTGGTCCAACCTGCAGTACCGCTGCAACGGTGAGCACGAGCTCCCCCCTCCGCGGGGGCCACCGGACACCCCCCCCCCCCGCACCGCACTGTGCCGGGGGCCGAGAGCACGCAGAGCATCTCCTCCCTTATCCCCGATGCGGGGGTCGGTCCTGGGCTGGGGGGCTGTCCCGCTTTAACCGGGGCTTATCTCCCCCCCGGCTCCTGACTGTCCTCCGCTGTCCCCCCGCAGACACGATTCCCGCCGACTTCGAGCCCTTCCGCCGGTTCCTGCTGGAGGGTCGCGAGTGAGGGGCCGCGCCCGGGCCGGGCCCCCCCTCGCCACCGGCACCCCGAGGCGCTCCGGGCCCGCCGCCCCTCCCGGCCGGGACCCGCTCCCGGCCCCCCGCGGACTTTGCACTGCCGGTAGCGGCGCGTGCGGCCGGCAGCAGGGGGGAGAGGGGCCCCGCGGGTGGCGGGGCTGCCCCCCCCCGCGCCCCCCGCCCTGCCCCGGGCGCTGCCTGCCGCCGCAGTCCCTGCCCCAAATCTGGCCATAAAGTTTTGAGTGTTTTCTAGCCTGCGCGCCCTGTTCCTTGAGGGGGGGGGGGGATTCCTGGTGCCCCGAGAGGGCGCCGGGCACCCCCCCCCCCTCTTCCCCCCTCTCCCCCCTCCCTCTCCTCCCCCTTTCCCCGTGCTCTCGGCTCCGTCCGTCGCCGTTCTCCCCGCGGTGGTCGTCGCGGGGGTGCGTGCGTGTGTGTGGGGGAGCCTGGTGCCCGGCCGGTTCCACAGGCGGAGCCCGGTGGCGGCGGGAGGCCGGGACGAGTGCAATATTGGTAGGCGAGAGCACAACACTGCACCGCATCCCGTCCCTCCCGCCGCCCCGGAGGGAGCGGAGCCGCCGCCGCCGCCGCCGCTCGGGCCGCTCCGTGGGAACTGCGCGGCGCGCGCCGAGACCCGGCGGCAGTGCCCGGTCGCCATGGCGACGGGTGTCCCGGCAACGCGGCGGAATGTGGCCCCCCCCCCCCCCCATCCCCGCCCCGGAGCGCGCGGGGCCGGCACCGGCACCGGCCCGGCCCGCCCCCCCCCCCCCCCCCCCCGCCCCGCGGCGGCGACAATGGGCGCGGCGGCGGCGGTTCCCCCTCTTAAAAGGGCAACGCGGCGGCCGCGGGGATGCCCCGCTGGTGCCGGTGGCGTTGCCCGCTCTCCGTTCACCCCGGGGCCGCTGAGGGACCGGGGCGGGCGCTGCCCGGGGGTTACCGGGGCATCACGGCGCACCTGTGCGGGTGAAATCACCGCTCGGTACCGAGCGCCTCCCGTCCCGTCTCGCTCTCCGGGCAGGGGGGGTGCACGGCGAGGCGGGGTTCGTGCCGCCTCCGCCTCCCCCGGCTGCGAGGGGCGCCCGCGGGCCCCGGTGCCGGTGCCCCGGGGGCGCGGGGCGAGCGTTGTGCGGGGCCGCGCCCACCAGGGGGCGCCGCAGCTCAAGCGCCACCGGGCAGGGCGGGGCCCCCCCCCCCCCCCCCCCCGAACCCCGCGCTGGGGATGGGGGTTGCTGCCGCGGGTGCTGGGGTGCCCTCAGGGGACGGGGACGCGGCTCCGCGCGTCCCGCCTCTTCCTTTCCCTCAGGTCTCCCACGCAGCGCGTCACCTGTGGTTTTCTGCCAGGGGGAACACTGCAGACCCAGAACCCCCACTTTGAGGGGGGGGGGGGCGATCTCCCCAGGACATGGAGCTGCATCCCCGCGAGCTGGGCTTGCCACAAAGAGCATAACGTGGCAGGTGTGGGAGGGGGCGGCAGCCCCGGGCGAGGGTCCGCTGCCCTTTTCCCATGGCCGTGGATTTTTGAGGACATCGTGTCCACCCAGAGCCTGCTGCCCATGCCCTGGCCGTAGTCCCCTTGCTGTGGACCCTGTCGGGGATTGGGTGCAGCTGGGTCCCATCGCACCCATCCTGACGCCCAGGGCACCCATTCCTCACCCTACTGGTCCTACAACATGGAGGGACACCCCCCCACCCCCCCATTCTGTTCCACTTTGCACCAACACCTTGAAACCCCCTGGCATGGCCAGGGTGGCAGTTCAGCTCCACGTGGGACTGGGCAGGATGCCGGGCACAGGGGCCCCTGCCAAGCCCTCCCCGAGAATTGGGGCCCTCCCTGGGAATCGGGGCTCTCCTGCAGAGCAGGGGCAGGGAGGGACCAGAAAGGCTGGTGTGGTCTGGCCGTGCCAGGGGCACGTGTCACCGAGGAGGATGGGGGCTCTGCACCCCGGCATGGGTGGTACCTGGTACCTCTGGGGTGGAGCATCGGCATCCGGCTTGGCACCAGCCATCAGCCTGGGCCGGGGGCTGTGGGTTGAGTGGAAAGAGGGTCTTGTGGCTGCTGGGAGGGCCCTGGGATCTGGCAGGTCGGTTACTGGGAGGTACTGGGATTTTGTGGGGCACTGGGCCCCACCTGCGTAAGCATTTCAGGGGGGATCACCGGTGTTTATCTGAGTGTAGGGCGAGGCAGTGGCCAGCCGGTAATGATTAACCCCGGGCTGAGCCAGAGGATGAGGCCCCCCCCTGTGCACAAGGAATCGGGGGGGGCTCTGTCCACCCTGTGCTCCCCACCAGCATCTGGGGGCTGTGGCTCAGCCCACGGGGCCAGGCAGAAGCTGCCCCCACCACACCCTTCCCAGGGATGCCCAGCTGCTGCCCCTTCCCCGGGCCCCCACCCGAGGCTTCATCCACCTGTGGCACAGGGACACCGTCAGTGACGTCCCCTCAAGCCGGGGCACTGTGGGGGACCCAACCCAGGGGGAGGATGCTGCTGGGGCCCCGTTGGCAAGGTGGCACCCCCGCTCCCTGTGCCAAATGGGGTGGAGGGACCCCCCCCTCCCCGGGGCTGGCGGCGGGGTGGGGCCTCCCCACCTGCTCCAGGTGCTCTATAAAGCTCCCGCCACTGTCGAGCCGCCAGTTCCTGATCCCGGATTGCAGAGCGTGCCGCTGACTAACGGGAGAGCAGCCGCTGCAGGGTCCCGAGAGGTTCTGGGACACCCCAGGACGAACCCCATGGCATTCACCGCCTTTCTTCTGCTGCTGGTGCTGGGCGCAGGTGAGGGGCTGGGGCTGGTGGCACCTCGAGCCAGAGGGAACAAGCTGGGACCTGGGCAAGCAGGAAAGTGACAGGGCAGGGGGATGAGAGTGGGGTCCCCTGGGCTGCTTTCTGAGTGGGGATCAGGGGACACCGGAATCCCTGGTGACAGGGGCTGTCTCTCCTGGCCTGGCACCGGGGTGCAGCACCCCATGGCTGGTGGTTCCCAGCAAAGCCGGGACCTGGGGACCTTGCTTGGTCCATGGCCCCTCTTAGCCGTGTCCAAAAAGATCAGCCAGGGCTGGGCAGCCGGGCTGTGCCGGGACCAGCCAGAGCAGGCTGCTCGCAGGCTGGTATGCAGGTGTGTCTCCGTGAGCCGGCCGGACCCCGGGCCCTCCTCCAGTGCCGCCAGCTCCTGCAGCACCCACTGGGAAACCGCCCAGAAGCTGCCTGCGCTGGCCAGTAGCCAGGATATGCGGGTCTAGGGGGGTGTGGGTGGCACCCCAGCTGACACATAGCAAAGGAGGTTTGGGGGGTGGGGGTGGGGGGGCTCCCTGAGCCCCCCGGCATGGCTAGATCACCCCAGGATGAGGGGCTGGGCATGGAGCCAGTGTCAGCTGCCCAGGCAGTACTGCCTGGACCCTCCGTGGTGTCACACGTGCCCAGTGCAAGCCCCAGTTGTGGGGTGTTCCTGAAGGTCTTGTTGGCCTCATGAGCAGTGGGAGCTGACAGTGGTTGGCACCTGGAGGTCGTAGTGCTCCTCGGCACCCTCTTGGCCCAGGGGAGCGTCCAGCTGAGGAGCCATGTCATGTAAAACCTTCCCAAACTGGTGCTGCAGTCCCAGCTGCCAACTCCTGGTGTTTCTTCTAGGTACACGTGCCATGACCATGACCGAGACCACCACGGAGACGACCATGGCTGACACGACCACCACAGAGACAACCACTGAGACGACAACCACCACCCCTGTGACCACGGCTCCAAACATCTTCATCTCCGAAAACACAAGTGGTAACAGGACCCAAACCTCCGTGTCCTCCCACATCACGATCTTCCCCATCACAGGCAACACCACAAACTTCCAGTCCAGCAACAGCTCCGCAGGCAATACCGCAGCCAACAGCACCGCAGGGCCTGTCTCCAGCAGCGTTGCCATCTCCCACACCAACACCACCGCAAACAGCAGCAGCTGGGTCCCCCCCTTTGGCACCAACCCAACCAACAGCAGCAACTGGGTCCCCCCCTTTGGCACCAACACAACCAACAGCAGCTCCGCAGCTCCCCCCTCCACCGTGGAGGGTGGCACGGTGATCCCCATCTCCAGCACCAAAGGCAATGGGAGCGGCAGCACTCAGGTCGTCCCCACACGGAAGACCTCTGTCACCACTCAGGGCAGTACGGCTCCCAGGCAGACACCCACGGCTGTGCTGGGCAGCGGCGGCAGCCCCAACCCCAGCAAAGCCGCAGCCCTGCTTCCCACCGCGGTCCAGCTGCTCCTCCGCATCCCGCTGTCCTTCCGCATCCTCAACAGGAGCTTCAATGAGAGCCTGCGCGACCCCGCATCGAAGGAGTACAGGAGCCTGAGCCGTACTGTCTTGACCTTGGTGAGTCCCAACCCTGACCACGGGTTCCCTGGGCAAGCAAAGACCCCCCAGTTTGTGCTGGGAAGGAACCATCTTCCATCAGGACTTCCCATGAAAGTATCCTGAGCATCTGCTCTGCCAGCTGCTTCAGCAGCCCCAGCTGGTCCTGCAAGGGGGAGAGGTGAGGGGACGGGAGGGAGGGGGTCTCTGCCAGGGGGGCAGCCATCACCCCCATGCTTTGTTCCAGTTCGAATATGTCTTTGGCTGCGCGAGCTGCGTGGGCAGGCAGACCTACAAGGGATGCAGCGAGCTGCGTTTCAGGTGAGCAGGTTGGCAGCTCCGGCTGCAAGAGGCCGGCGCGTCCCCACTGCACAGTCCAGAGCCCCTCGCATGGGGCAGCAATTCGGGTGCTAACGCCTCCTCTCGTGGGCAGCCATGGCTCAGTGGCAGTGGAGTCCATCCTCGTGTTTGGGCATGGCAATGAAACCATCACTGGTGATGTTGTTGAGCAGCAACTGAGGAACAGACTGGACCAGAACGGCTTCATCATGGACCTGCAGCTGGCCAGCATCTACAGTGAGCGGGAGCTTCGGGCTGGGGGTGCGAGGGCAGATGGAGCCCCACGGGGGTGCTTTGGGGGGTTCTGCAAGCGGTGGGACAGGCTCAGGGCTTGCAGCCGGCAGAGCCAAAGCAGTTTCCCAGTGCCTCCAGCAGGCAGCACTGGGAAGACCAACTGGATCCTGTGGAGGAGTGCTCATCCCTTGCACCCTGTCCTGGGGGTCTCTCAGGGCTGTTTGTCCCAGCCAGCCCTGGAGCTCTGCCCAGCGGCGCAGACACAGCTCTGGTCCTCTTTCAGGCACTGGGGAGGTGACGTCGCCGGCACTGGTGCCTGTGGTCCCTGACTGGGCCATTGCTCTGCTGGTCTTGGTCTGCATCCTGCTGCTGCTGAGCATCCTCACCTGCCTTTTGATGGTGAGTCCCCCATCCCCATCCCTGTCCTCACCTGCCTTCTGCTGGTGGGTCCCCTGTCACCATGCCTGTGCCATCAGACCCCTGACCCCTTCCCTCTCCCCCCCAGACCACCTGCACCTGCCGCCGGAAAAGCCAAGGGAAGCTGGACCTGTTCAGCACGAAGGACTCCTACCACCCCATGGCTGAGTACCCCCCATACCAGAGCCACGGGCGCTACATGTCACCCAACAGCAAGCCCAACCCCTACAGCCAGGTGAGCCACTGTCCCTTGGGCAGCTTGTGCCTGGCATCCTGGCCGTGGCGGGGCTGGGGTGGTGTGGGGGAAGGTGTTTTTTGGTGCAGCCGGGTAGCTGGGCAGGTCCCTTGACCGTTGGGTTAATGGCTAACGGAGCCAGTGGGACAGGGGATGGGTGACCCTGGGAGCCCGCCCCACACCAGTCGCCTCCCGGTTGGGAGGTGAGCATAACTTTCATGCCTGGATGGAGCAGCGGCGCTGGGTGCGTGGCTGGCACTGGCAGACCCGACCCGGCTCTGGGGAGCTCCCCACGACCTTGGGTGGCTGCTCCCCCTGCCCAACCCCGGGCCAGGGGCTCACAGCCTGACCATGCTGCCCCTTCTCAGGCTCGGCCACATCCCACCCAGAGCTTCGCATCTGCCGGAGTCGGGGCATCGTCCTGCCATGGCTGGGGAGTGGGGTTGGGGTTGGGGCCGGGGCCAGGGCGCTGCAGGGGTGGCAGGGGGCTGGGGGGCTGTATCCTGCACCCCCTATCCCGCACCAGCGGCTCTGAAACCAGAGCTGCAGGTGCAGCATCGGGACCTGCCTGCACACGCAAAGGGAACAGCTCCCCAAAGTGATGTGAGGTTTGAGGGGGCCATCCCCCCCACCCCCAGTACGCTGCGCACCCCTGCACGCTGGCGCTGCAGGTGGGGGCTGTATCCAGCTGCTTGGCTCCCTGCGAGCAGCTCACCCTGTTCAAATACCAGGGGCCTGGGTAAATATTTACCTTTGCTCTTGCTGGGCAAGCTTATCACGTAGGAGAGGAACACGTCTGGGGCCACCTCAGCTCCTCCACTGGCTCCTGCACCCGGGGGGGCTTGGGGTGCCCATGAGGGCTATGGGTGCCCGTGGGGCTGGGGGTGGCTGCCCCTCAGGCAGGGGAGGAGGATGCATTTTTTAGCTGAGCACCAGGCTGTCCACGGTGCCCATGGTGAGGGTGTGGGGGTTCCCTCACTGGCCCCAGAGGGGGGCTGAGGAGGGGGCTCAGCCTGCCCCCCACCCCTCCCCAGCCCCACTCTGACCCCCCTCACCGCTCCCTCCCCAGGTGGCCAGCAGCAACGGCGCAGGGACCGGCACCTTCACCTACACCAACCCGGCCCCCACCTCTGACAACCTCTGAGGGTCCCGCTGAGACAGAGAGCAGCTGCCGAGGGGAGGGGGTGGCCGCAGCCCCCCACTGCCCGGGGGAGCAGCACCGGCCCCGGACATGTCCCCCGGTGCTGCTCAGCCCCTCACCCCAGGCAGCGGGAGCAGGGTGGTTCTGGAGCAGCCGGATTCACGCGCATGACAGAACTGGATGAGCAAACGTTTGGGGTGGGAGGGAGGGTCCCCCTCACCCCCCCCAACACTTGCTTAGCTTTTCAACCCTGCTCCACGCCATGGGTGGGGGATCCGTGCTCATCCCCCCTGCGCTCTCCCCTGGGGGTTCAATTGCTCTTTATGTGGTGTTATTTTATATAAATATATATATATATATATATATATACACGCACGGCGTGCCAGCGTAAGGCTTGGCTCTGTGGGGAAGCGGGGTGACAGCGTCCTTGGCTGTGGTATATTTAGCACATTTCACCAAATAAAGGATGGGTGCAGTTGGGCACCATGTCCCAGGGGTTGTGAGGAGCCCCAGCACCCCGTGATGCCTCAGGGGCCTCGCCAGCATGTAGGGTGCCTCTCCTGGGGGAGTGACGGCCTGATTCTGGTTCCATGGCTGGTGGGACATCCCTGTTGTGGCCGTCACCCACCCGGGCGACCTCGGCTTGGTGGGGACTGCTCTCATTTCTCAGTCCAGGCAGACCCGCGGTTTGTGCTGGGGTTGTTTCTCGTCATTGCACCTTCAGTCGCCCGGGTGCGGGTGGTGTCCCTGTCCCCTGTGTCCCCTTGGGTGTGACCATGCCCTGCTGGGATGCCGTCCCTCTTGCTCACATCCCGCCCGCCTGTCCCGCACTCTCGGTTTCTGTCTCGTGAGCAAACATGTCTCATTCAACACAACCGGTTAGCCCCGGCTGCACAAGCAGAACGTAAAGGTGACGACAGGCCCATAAAGCTGCTGGGAAGGCTGTGCGTGCATCGCTGGCGTGCACGCAGCCGTGTCTGAGCCTGGCAGGTCCCACTCCCCTCCTCTGCCTGGGCTGGGCTCAGGATCCTTTGCATGAACCCCAAAATGGCTTTGGGGGCTGCCGGGAGGAAGGGGAGCACGGCAGTGTTGTGGGACATGCTGAGGTCAGTGGGTGGCTCCGGTGGGGCTGGGGACCAAAGCGGGTCCTCGCCTGCCTGGCATGGGGCCATGTGCTGGGCTGTGCCAGGGCACACACCTTTGGGATGGCCGTGCCTTGAGCTGGGGGGGGTGACACCTCCACAACCCCCCCCACCCCCCCCAGTAGTCCTGGTTTGGGCTGGGCCTGGGAGGGTTTTGGCAACCACTGAAAAGGCAGAAAAACAAGGAAACAAACCTGCCCCAAAGAAATCTCTTGTGAGCTCAGGCATGGAGCCAGCCGCTTTGCCGGGAACCAGCCCCGGGACCGGCCCGGCAGCGTGTGGCCGGTGGGCGACTTGGCCATGGCATGTGGGCTCGGTGGGGGACGGGGCTGCGCTGGGTGCCAGGCACCCCCAGCATGGGCCAGGATGTGCCTGGTCTGTGATGGGGTGGGGGTGAAGGGCTGGGGGGGGGGGGGAGCTGCCAGGAGAATTGACACAAGCCCCGAAACTGAGGGAAGGGGGATGTAGCCGGGGAGGGGGGTGACGTGTGTCGCTGCTGCTTTTGGTTTTCTATTTGCCTTGCTGATAGCCAGAGTTGCCAACAGCAACAGCGAAACCCAGCAGCCTTCCAGCTCGGCAGGCTGGGAGGGGGACTGGGGGGTGGGGTGGGGGGGTGGGAGTGCACCCCGGGGAGGATTAGGGCAGGAGCTGGGAGGTTTGCGCAGGGAGGGCTTTTTTGGGGCTGGGGGGTGTCTTTGCGTGAACATGAACAGTAGGATGGGGACACACGCAATGCCAGATCCAGCCCTTGCGTGCCAGAAGGAAGGGGCAAAGCTAAAAGCAGCCAAGGGGGGGGGGGGGGGGGGCACCGTGTCACCTCTGTGTGTCTCCCCCCCCTGCCCTGCTGCTGCGCGGGGATCAGTTCCCATTCCCAGGGCAGGGCCCCCTGGGGTGCGTGGGGCCGCCTCTGCGCCCCCTCCCGCTTCTGCCACCCCCCCCCCCCCCCGCAGCCCTGGGCAGGGCCCCGCAGGAATCGAAACAGGCGCCAGGGCTGAGCCCTACAAAGAGCCGCCTGTTCCCAGCGAGCCCGGCCACCGCCCCACCGGCTCCGAGCCGAGGCGGGGGGGGCCCCGTGTTCCCCGTGGACAGGCACCAGCTTGGGGTGGGTCCCGGCCCCCCATGTGGCTCCTCCGCCTGCCCCACGGGATGCAGGTACCAGAGTGGGGTGCCAGCCCCTGCAAAAGGATGCCCCAGCAGCCCCCCAGACTGGAACAGCCACCCTGGGGATCCCCCCCCCACACACACCTTCCCGCTAATGCTATTGGGGTTTTCTCCAGTCCCAGCTGGTGGCCTGTCCAGGAGCACCCCGACACCCCAGAACTGGGTGGCAGCAGCCACGTGGCTGGACAGAACGTGGGCACGGACTGGACACGTCAGCACTGCCCAAGCTGCCCCAAGCCTTTCCCTGAGCAGGATTGGCCCCTTCTGGCCACGGGCCCAAGGCCAGCCCAGCCCCATGGCAATGGACGGGTCCCGCAGCCTGGGGAGCAGCCAGCACCCCCCCCCCCCAGTCCCCCGTGCCGCTGCTCCCTAGGGGGTAGCCCTGGAAGAGTCTGGCATTGCAGTTTATTGTAGGAAACCATGAAAATACAGCAATTGTAACAGAACCCAGGAGAAACTACAGCAGCTCAGATGGATCCCAGTGCGGGACCGCTGGCACGGGCCCCTGTGGTGGATGGTGGCCCTGCACGGCTCCCGGCCAGGTCGGATCCTGACCCCGTTGCCCCAGCCCACCCTGGCTGCCTGTGGTTTGGCACTGAGCGGTGTGATGGGGACTGAGCGTGTCCCTCTTGGAGCAGGTGCAGGCAGGGGCAGAGGCAGGGCTGGCCGAGCACGTGGCTCCCCTGGGGACAGGGCAGAGCAGCCAGCAACACTCTGCGGCCCCGGGGTGGGGGAGCGGCGGGCACCGAGGGCACCAGTGGGCACAGCCTGGCAGCCCCCGGGAGGGACCCAGGGGCAGCTGTGCCCAGCTGTGGTGGCTGTGCCTGGCCGTGGCACCGCAGCCGGGTGAGCCGCATTGAAAATGAGCCATTTTAAAAAAAGTCTTCACACCTCATTCCAGCCCAGCCTCCCCCCACCCTGTCTCCCTAAGCCCAGCTGCCTCCCCCACCCCAACCAGCACCCCGCCTCTCCCCCCCCCACCATCACCCCCAATGTCACCTGCCACCCCCCTCCCTACACAGCCCTCTGTCCCTCTCACACCCTGGTCCGTCTTTAGGGCTGACCCTCTGCCCAGCCCTGCCCGTGGCCCCAGTTCAGAGCAGCCTCAAGCCAAACTGGGGAAAGGGGCAGGCGGACAGGGAGAGGAGGGGACAGCAGAGCTGTCCCCATCCCCCCCCCCATCCCACAAAACAAACACCTGGCCTGTTCCCAGCACTGGCAGGGCCAGGGCTGCCCTCCCTGTGCTCCGCTCCCTGCTCGCCTGTGTCCCCCCCAGACCCTGGAGCTCGCTGGGCAATCCGGGGTCGCGGCCGGCGTGCGTGCAGTGGAGCACGGGCACGGCTCAGTCCAGCTTGGCGAAGCCCCCAATGGTCACTTTACGCTCCTGCTTGTTGGCCACCAGCTCCTGGAGATGCAGGGCACCCCCTCCGATGAAGCAGAAGGCAGGGCAGACGGGCCCCGAGCAGTCCACGCCACACTCCCAGAGCTCACGGAAGGAGACAGCATCATAGAAGCTCACCTTGCCCTGCTCGTAGTCCAGGCAGATGCCGATACGTGGGGGCAAGGGCACGGTGCAGCCATTGGGGTCGCGAGAGGTGAGCGCCGACCCGTGCGAAAGCAAGATCTTGCCCATGCCGATGGTGAGGAAGGCGTAGGGCGGTGGTGCCTCCACCGTTGTGTCCTCTGCCCCACTGTCGTGGCCGCTGTCGGGGTCGTACCTGCAGCGGGGGGATGGCTGAGTCTTGGCGCCGACTCGTGACGGACAGGCTGTGGCTCCCCGGGGCACCCCGGTGCCCAGTGAGGAGGCAGGCACAGACAGAGGACACCCCCCACACACGCACCCACCAAGCCCCCCCGCTCACCTGGGGCTCACCACGTCCTGCGGCACCTGGAACCACTCCTGCAGCTTGCTCTCCAGCCCCACGCCCACCTTGACCAGGTAGGAGCTGGGGTCCACGCAGCAGGCCCAGTAGCTCTTGCCCTGCGTGATGGCCACGTCGCCAATGACCAAGTCGATGGAGAGGTGGCAGCTGGTCATCAGGCGCTCGGCGGCGAAGAGCATGGGGATGCCAGGGACGCTGCGCACGGCGCGCTGGTCCTTGCTGATGGCCAGCCGGTCCCGGTTGAAGCCCCAGCGGTTGTCCAGGAAGAAGTTGAGGACTGCGGAGAGGTGAGAAAGATGGTGTGAGCGGTTGGTGGGGCGCTCCAGAGGGGTGCTCCAAGCCCCCAGGACCCCTCACCTGGGGCGGGCGGCGTGTGCAGGTAGATATCCTCGCTGTACTCCCCGAAGCCCGCCTTGTTGCAGCCCTTCACCCGGAGCACATAGACGCTGTCGGTGTCCAAGTACTCGACGAGGGCGCTGGTGCCACGCACCTCCTCCCGCCGCTGCCACAGCTTCAGCCCCTTGGCCTTGGTGTCCGTCTTGCGGTACTCCACCGTGTAGTGCCAGGCGGGCGGCGAGTGCTGCGGCAGCCGCCAGCACAGGAAGATCTGGTCGTAGGCGTAGGTGCGCTGCGTGTCGATGACGGGGGCCTCGGGCGCTGCGGGGAGAGGCACCAGCGGGCATCAGGCAGCATCCCCCCCCCCGGCAGGCGGGGAGGCAGCCAGACGCAGGGAGGGGGCATTCCGGACGGACGCACGGACGCACAACCAGCAGGAGTCTAGGGGGATCTGACTGCGGAGACCGTGTGTAGGCACCAGAGGAGAGCGAGTCAGGGAGACAGAGGAGCTCGCTGCTGTGGGGCTCCAGGGACCAGACAGGCTGAGTGCAAGTCGGGGGGGGAGGAGAGAGAAAGAAAGAGAGAGGATGGAGGCAGCAGAAGTGGAGGAGGGGAGGAGATGGGGATGGCTGGGTGGTGTGGAGATGCCGGTGGTGCGGTGGGAGCAGGGAAGGAGGGGTGGAGAGATGAGGGGATGGTGGGTGGAAGCGGGGCGAGGAGGGGGACAGAAATGGGGCGAGGAGGGGGACGGAAACGGGGCGAGGAGGGGGACAGAAATGGGGCGAGGAGGGGGACGGAAATGGGGCGAGGAGGGGGACGGAAATGGGGCGAGGAGGGGGATGGCAGT